AGGACTTTTGGCAACTACAAGCTCATCTCTGCTATGCATCTGAACCTCAAGAATTGAATTCAAATCTGTCTGTATATTGATCTTTTAACCAACACCCTTTCTCTTTTCTTTTTTAATAAATTCTAGTTTAGTTAACAAGAATTGACTATAGTGTGTATTTTGGGTAAGATCTAAGTTATAATTGGACCTGGGTATGTGGCTGATCCTTTGGGGCTGGAAGAACCTTTTCTTTTATATGATGAGATAAGATTTTCAGAAATCATCATCATATCTGACAGGTGTGTCTGGACGGAGGCCTGAGGCTGGGCACTTCAAGGGAACTGCGTTGTTTGGACTTCTGAGTAACCAGTGCGGTAATACAGAGGCTGTTTTGGGCTGGTTGGTAAATCTAAGTATTGGAATAACCACCAGCGTTTGGGGTTTGTCTGCCCTGTTCTGTTTGCAGTTCACCCTGATTGAGTGACCTCAGCTGGCTCCCACGGGCAGCATCGTCACACTTGGCCTCTAGCGCTGGAGGATTTCAGGGCTGGGAACGTCCGGGCGCTCCTAGTGAGAGCTGAGGTTCCCCGGTAACGCCCAAGTTGCAGGAGCTGAGCTGTGTGGAAAACACAGAGTGCGGCGAGACTTGCAGTAAAACCGAGAGAGCTGGCAAAGCAGCTTGGGCCCCTCCCGCCCTTCACACGGAGCCCCTCGCCCAGGCCCGCCAACAGCAATTCCAGACCCCAGGGCAGAACCGTCAATGAGCCCCCTACCACAAGCCGCGCCCGCGTGGTCCGCCTGACATTTGGGCCTACACTGGCTGGTGCTGCCCCCAGTACCCCTAGTTCCAGCGGGGCTCCTTCCCCCTCCCCCCCAGCCGCCCCATCAGGGCGCGCCCCCTCTCCCCACAGCGTGGCCAGCGCAACGGGGCGCGATCGATACCTTTCTTCTCCTCCACTGCGGCACCGAGGCAGACGTGGGTGAGGACAGCAGCTCTCCCGGTCCAGAGAGGTCCACTGGCTGCTGCCCAGGGCCGGCGGCTCCAGTCCCCCATCCTGGGCTGGGAAATAATCCCCAGGGTTCGGTGTGGGTCTCTCCTCGTCCCCCCAGCAGCGCTCAGCTCCTCTCCCCGGGTCCGTGCCCTGCAGCTCTGCTGAACAGCTGCCCGGGCACTGGGCGGAGACGGTGGCACTGGGGCTAAGGGGTTCGGGCACTGTACCTGGTGCCTGGCGACGGCTCCCACCCCATGTGTGCGCTGGAGAAAGTGCCTGGGGTGTGTCTGGGAGCTGGTGGGCTGCACGCACCTAGGAGCCTTGCGCCCCCCCCCCCGTGATTTAAAAGGGCCCGGGGCCCCTGGGCAATTGTCCCCTTTGCCCCCCCGCCCCCGGCGATGGGCCTGCCCTCGCTCCCTCTGCGGGCTTAGGGCTTCCCTCCCCGCTCACATCTGCAATTAGGGGGAGAGCGTGGCCCTTGTCTCCCCACGGGCAGCGGCTGACCGGGGTCTGGCTGGTCCTGGATGCACAAAGCAGCTCCCATTGCTGCTCGCTGCCCCACTGGGCTGCTGCTCCTCCGCCCGGCGCAGCCCCAGGGATTTCCCCAGCACCCCCCCAGCTCCATGCAGTGGTGCCAGTGTAGTCGCTGGTTGGAAATTTGAATTGAAATGGAAACACTCCTGAAATGATTTTGTAAGCGAGGTCTGGCTGAGCTCTCCCCTGACAGTGAGCAAGTGATCAGTGTTGTAACCCGGCACCAGTCCAAATGGATCCCTGGGGCAGCCCAGCTCTGTCTGATCCCGAAGCCGTTCCACCCACCGCTGGCTCATTACGAGCTGTCGAGGGCGAGCGCACTCAGAATCCGCTGCTAATCCCTGGCTGGAGCGCTCAGCCACAGGGAAAGCTGCTGGGTTGGGAGGGATCATTTGTCCTCGATCCTGAGTGTGTACGTCTAGCAGAGAACGGCCAGACTGGGTCAGACCAATGCCCCGTCTAGCCCAGTGTCCTGTCTTCCGAATTCCCGCTGGCCCCTCCCGCGGAGTCGCGTCTGGGCGGGAATTCCCGCTGCCCCCTCTGCCTGTCAAGATGTGGGGCGGTCAGGGAGGGGGCTGGGCGTGTGGTCTCCATTGTCAGCGGATTAATTTCATGTGCTGCTTCTTCATTTATGTCCCGTGCCCTTGTGCCAGGCTCCCAAACCGCCTGGCTGCATCAGCTCAGCATGCCAGACTCTGCTCCCAGTTACCCTGGGGGAAATCCAGAGACCTGTGCCCCCTATAAACGCGCCAGGCCCTCTGCCTCAGAGCAGGCCATGAGCCGTGAGCGGCTCTGAGCGAGGCTGGGGAGAGACGTCAGTGGCAGTGACTCAGCACATCACAAGCTCCATGATCCGAAATGCAGCCTCTGTTTTTTTTCCTCTGAAGAATAATCCTATATTCCAAGGCCAGTACGTCTCCTAGCCCCTCCCCACTGCATTCCCACCAGGTCCCCAAAGATCCGGGCTGCCCACGCCCACCTCCAGGGCGGGAACCAGCCGGGAGTCCCCGAGGGGCCCGTTAATGGGCCAGAGGGGTCGCTGCCTTGCCATGCCAGCTGTTCCCCACTGCCTGGCCGAGAGCACTGATCTGGGAAGCCAGACACAAGAGGGGTCATCATGGCTGGGGGCGTGGGGGCATTGCTGGTACAACTCCCAGCACCCCAGGGAGCACGAACCTGGGGCTGGAGAGAGCATCTCCCCTCTGCGCTTTCCTCAGCTCCCAGCCCCCCAAAGCTGCAGCCAGCGCGGCCCCTTTGCAAAGCCCAGCCCAAGGCGGGGAGCCTTGGTGTCACGGGCTGAGGCTCAGACAAGAAGGATGGCCCAATGGTTAGGGCACTAGCCTAGGACTTGGGAGACCAGGGTTCTAAGCCCCTGCACCTCCACAGCCTCCCCGTGTGACCCTCGGCAAGTCCCTTTGCCTTGCTGTGCTGCGGTTCCCCTGCTGCGGCTAATGCTGGGGTGGCGCTCAGTTACTGCAGCGATGGCCACGAGGGCAGCTGAATGGCGTCTCACAAGGCACAGCCCTGGAGGGGCCCTGGCAGCCTGTTCCCCTCTGATTTGGGTGGGGCGGACTGCCCAGAATGGATGCGCCCACTTCTGGAGTGTATTAGGCCTGAGCTGCACAGGCCCTGCCACTGCTGAGGATGTTAAACAAAGGCCTGGGCGGGAACTGAGTTCAAGTTCACAGAGCTGGTGGAGGGAGCTCTGCCCAGGGGGCTGGTGCTGGAGAGGGGCTGCTCTCTGGAGCGAGGGAACCAGGAATCCTCACAAGCCACCAGCACTCGAGGGCAGTGGCCCAGGACAGAAGGGGCCACAGAGCGAAGTTCCCTGCCCCAGGGCATCTGAGCAACTGGGTGTGACGTTATTGACATAAACTAGGATCGTCTAGATCATTGTTGCAACCAAGGTCCTGTAGTGGCACCCAAATCTTGTATAAAGGGCGTCAAATGGGGTGTCTAGGATAAGGTTATGGTTTACTGGTTATGATTATGCTGTCTATATGTGTGTATCAGTTTTGTAGTTAAAGTTATGAATATTGGCTCTATACTGTCTGTATGGCAAACTTATGCTATGCTTCTGGGTGACATCCCAGACAAGCTGAGATTAGCTCTGCCTAGCCTGCTTGATGGCCCATTAAGGACCATCAGCTGTACAATGGATCCATTGAAAGAAGGCAGATACGCCTTGTAACTCAGCGAAGTATGCAAGAACTGGCCCATGTGACTCCAGACTCCATTTGGCTGTAAGGAGGTAACAAGGAGGTGTTCTTACTCCTGGAAAAGACTATATAAGGCTGATGCCTCATCTCCATCTTGTCTTCAATCCTGCTTCACACCTCTGGAGGAACTTTGCTACAAGCTGAAGCTCTGAACAAAGGACTGAGGACCCATCCCAGCGGGGGATGTATTCCAGAGACTTGATTTAATGGTTTATTCCATCGCTGCTGCAAGCCTGAACCAAGAACTTTGCCATTAATGGAATTAATTGATTCCCTTTAAACAATTTTAGCTCTCATCTCTATCTTTTTCCTTTTATGAATAAACCTTT